TGGAAATATAAAACAATAAATAGTGGAATATATCAAATTAAAAATTAGAATGCAATAGACTATAAATAGACTACATAAAAAAATCAATAATAAATTTGAATATTTTGAATTTCGAATTTAATATATAAATAACAAAAAAAACCCATCACCTAATGGTTAATAAACCTTTCAAATGACTAATATTTATTGGACAGATTATCAAAAAAAATTAAAAAAATAAAGTCCACAGAATTAGAAATAAAAATTAAAATCAGCAGATGAATGTAAATTTTCAATGCATTGGAAATATAAAACAATAAATAGTGGAATGCATCATATTAAAGATTGGAATGCAATAGACTATAAATAGACGACATAAAAAAATTCAATAATAAATATGAATATTTCAAATTTAATAAATAAGTAATAAAAAAAACCCATCACCTAATGGTTAAAAATAATTTTTTCATGCACCACATTTATCATTTTAATAAAATTAAACATCTTAATCATTAGAATTTGCACTCCTTTTATGATACCAAAAAAACAGAAACTGGTATAACATTATATGCAGGAAGAACTTGATCATAACAATCCATAATATGTCAGAACTTGATCCTAACAATAAAAGACGAAGCAACATGTAAAAGAGACCATTTTAAGCATATTTCTGGAGGTTATATGTGAAATACCTGTTTTTCTAATCCTTCAACAACATCTTCAAACAAATCTTTTGGGGTTAACCAGATATATTGGCATAGTCCTATGAAAGAATGACATGACATATCAAATGAAAAGGTAAAAGAATGATGTGATATATCAACGTCAATTCCCATAAGAAAAATATATGCCAATTAAAATTATGTCTTCCATTGCAAAAATTTCGCAACCTTAAAGGAAAAACAAAGGGAAAATGAATACAATCAAAGCATGAACTTGTAGTTTACCAGTTCATAACGTAAAAGAATAAGCAAATTATGTAGTACATCCATGTTTCAAGATAGCATTTGGCTGTGCCAGTTTTATTGATCAGTTCAAGACTGTGCTCTTTAAATTGACCTAATATAACAACAAATTTTCAGTTTAATCTGGGTTGTAAACTGTATCAGCCAAATGATTTTCTTAGGAAGTAAAAAGCAAAGTGTATAAAATAAAATTCATAAGTTCATTTCAGGAGATGGCTGACAGGAAAGGGGAAAAAAAGAAGAAGTGATAGGATAAATCATAAACTCTAACCGTTAATTCTAGGTAGTGGACAAGAACAATGTGGGAGAAGTCCCCGCAATAGTGGTAATTTATGTCAGAAAAGGAGGAGAAAGCCTGAAAAAATCAAACTAAAATTTGCAATCACTAAATTAACACAGTCCAACCAGACAAGAAGCTAGGGAACCTCATGTAATACCAAGGTAGTATAGTTTTTTATTCTTTAACTAATGCATTATTATTTAATATCAAAGATAATTTCTTGAAAATCTAAGTTGATTAATTAGGATATTTAGGGCTTTATTTGGTTATCTGATGAAAGATGGGAGCTAATTATATCTTAAAAAAAGATGCAAAATTCTAATTTGACCAACAATATGTCAAAATCTGGAATATAATTTTCAATAAAAAGAAACACTAAATTTTACTATAAGCATATAATCCATCATTTAAAAATAAAAGCAATAATAAAAAGGAGGAATAATTCTTTTTTGTATTAAATAATGCATCATATAAGAGGTCCCAAGTCCAAATTTAAATTATTTCTCTAATCCACATAAATAAAAGCTGTTTTCTCAAATTTTATCCATGGCATGCAAATTTACACAAACACTATCCAATAAAAAATTTGGCAAACTCATTCACATAAAAAATCACACTTACTTTTCGAGCATTGAATAACGTCTTTGAAAATTTTTGTTGGAGTCTACCTCTCCAAAGTTGAGTAGCTGGAGCATACCCAAATCTTTCTTGGGTTAAGATTGGTCTTTTTGATCAATGCCTACAACCAGAAATCACCATCAACACAAAGAAAGAACAAAAAAAGGGAAAAATAGCAAAGCAATGATCAAGGGAAAAAAAAAAAGGGTTGTGGTGGTTTGTTAGATCTGGCCTGCAAGTGATCATCCCTTGTCAAATTCCAGAAATCTGTGAAAAAAATCCCTTAATGTTTGAATTTCAAGAATATTTAGATATTGAATCACTAAAACCATTTCATTTGATCAAACATAATAAAATGAAGCAAGAAAAGCAATTCGTGGTAGCAAAGGAAGGCAACTCTCTAAGTTTTACATAATTTCCACAAACCGAAAAAAGGAAAATGACATTGAAAATCTTTATCAAATCATACTATTATTAAAATGATATAGAGTTCTCATTACTGAAGCTCATAAAAGCTGGTCCTATGAGAGAAAGCTCATCCTGATCATCTTACCTCTTCCCTGCGAGAACACTTGAAAATAGGCGATCCAGGTTTTGCCATGAAAGCACCTTCTTGACCACCAATAACATAAAGATGATAGTTAACAACAATACAGGCCCTATATGTATGACATTTAAATTTTAGAGAATAAAATGTTAATGAGGAATTTGCAAAGAGTTCAAATCTTAAGTGAATATGCTAATTTCATTTAATGAAAGGTAAACAATTTCCATGTTTCAACTACACAAATAGCATTCTCATCCAAAGGACATATCTACAAACCTGTGAGGTCCACCATTTGTCATAGGTATCTCATTCCTCCACTCATTCTCTAAAGGTTTTCCATCCTTAACAGCAAGACTCCAATGCTCTAATCCTGGTGTATGTCGATTCTCCTTGCTGCCACCCATCACATGGAGTCTACCTCTCCAAAGTTGAGTAGCTGGAGCATACCCAAATCTTTCTTGGGTTAAGATTAGTCCTTTTGATCAATGCTTGCAACTAGAAATCACCATCAACACAAAGAAAGAACAGAAAAAGGGAAAAACAGCAAAGCAATGATCAAGGGGAAAAAAAAAAAAAAAGAGGGCTGCGGTGGTTTGTTAGATTTGGCCTGCAAGTGGTTCGACGGCCATGAGAGGGGTTCGGCAGCAATGAAGGAAAGAAGATGATGAAGATCGACGCCATGATTTGTTAGATCCAGAATGCTCAACGGCCATGGCTTTGGTGAGGAAGGAGATTCGGCAACAATGAGAAAGATAGGGTAATGGCTTTGGTGAGGAAGCGGTTCGACAGTAATGAAGGAGAAAAGATGATGAAGATTGACGCTTCATGATTTGTTAGATCTGGAATGCTCAACGGCCATGGCTTTGGTGAGGAAAGAGATTCGGCAGCAATGAGGAAGGGAGGGTCACGACTTTGGTGAGGAAGGGGTTCGGCAGCAATGAAGGAGAGAAGATGATGAAGATCGACGACGGCCATGGCTTTGGTGAGGAAGGAGATTCCGCAACAATGAGGAAGATAGGGTTTCAGTTTGCAGTGGAGAAGAGGAAAAGATGAGCTTTAGACTTTTTCGTAAAAAATGATGCAGGTTATTTTTAGTTAATAAAAATAAAAAGGGAAATAAATAAGAAAAACATAATATTTGAAAAGAAAGTATTTTTGAACTG